AATGAAATCTGGTTATTGCAGAAACAGAGGGGACTGGACATCATTATGCTAAATGAAACAAAATAGGCACAGAAAGACAAGTACTACCTGATCTCACTTACGTCTGGAATCTACAACAATTGAGAGGAAAAGTGGTGGGGAGGGTGAGGGAGGGAGAAAGTTTGAGCATTGTGTACTAATTTACAGTTAGGAGCAAGAAGCTCTGGGATGCTCTTATACAGTCTGTGTATTTCTTTGTGTGAAACTTCCAAAATTCATCTAACTTTTTGAAACGACAGTACATAATAATTTATCTATAGTGTAAGTCCTTATAAAGAGCTACAAGTCTCTAAATGAACTCTCCTCCACGGTTATCTTCCTCACTTCATCTTTTATTATAGATGTTTCTCTTTCTCACTCTTCTTCAACCTGACTGACTCCTTGTTCCTTCTTGAACTCTCCAGAACAATGCTGCCACAGGATACTTTCACTTACTGCTCCCTCTACCTAGGATTGATCTCTTTTCCCAAATAGCTGCAGAGCTCACCCTGTGGCCTCTTTCACATATTTTTAATTGCCAATTCAATTAAGCCCATCCTAATCCTCTTTATACCAACTGAAATCTCCCAGCATTCCCTGCTTTCTTTTTCTCTGTAGCTCTATAATACTGTAGACATTTCTTATTCATTTATATTTTCTTGTTCCTCCATTATAATTCAATCTCCATAAGCCCAGGAATTTTTTTTGTCTGCATACCAGTGTATTGCCAGGTAGAACACCCCCTGGCAATTAGTAGGACTCAATGAATACTTGCTTAGTATATGAATGAATATTTGAATATATATATTCATTTTGCCTCCATATTTATTTTGTTGTTTGATATTAGAACACTGGTTAAAATTATTTTTCCCTCACAATTTTTTAAACAAAACTTATTTTGGAGTAATTTTAGGTGTAGATTTATTAAAGTTACAAAGATAAAGCAGAGAGTTTCTATACATACCTATATACTTTCCCCCATTTTAAAAAATATTTTTTTTAGTTGTAGATGTTTGTTTTGTTTATTTATGTTTATGTAGTGCTGAGGATGAAACACAGTGACTCACGCTTGCAAGGCAAGTGCTCTACCACTGAGCTACAAAACCAGCCCCTACTTCCCCCCATTATTATTATCTCATATTATTATGTCATATTTATCAAAACAAAGAAAATGACATTGGCAGAGTATTAACTAGCTCATATCTTCCTTAAAATTCCTGAACAATGAAGTTAGTCTAAACTTTTTACTCTTCTAAACAAGGCTCAACTCCCCTGCTTTCTCAACCACCCAGCCTTTATTTTGTGGCATTTATTTGTTAGCTGTCTGGACTTCCCTAGTGCTAATAAGGCACCACCCAGCTGGTATTCACAGGAGCCAGGATTTCCATTTGTTCATTATCCTTAAATGTTTTAGGATTGACATTGCTGCAGGCCTCTAGACTACCTAAAATAATATTCAGTTGCTTAGGGAAAAGTGTGCTATACAGAGGGTATTATTGTCAATAATCAGTGTGTATGGAGTTTTAAGGAGAGCCACGATGATTGATACCAGTGTATTTAAGAGTCACAGTATTTCAGGGATTAAACAAGTAACTATTTTTCCAATTACTGACTCCCAATTGTGCTGATAAACCCCTTTTCCCACTAGGCAGCAGGTTCTTTAATGATACCTTGGCCAGAATCCCTAACTTTTCTGTTTCTTTCCTTCATGAAGCCTTATTTCAGTATGTTAGAGTCTGGTAGATAATTAAAATTTGCTATAGCTTATTTTAAAATCAATTATCCTATTTTTTCAAAGCTGCCTTTTATCTCCCTTGGGACTGACCAATGTTACCTAGAACCAAAGTCATCTCTTTTAGGGGGTTATAGTAGTGTCTCTCTCCACACATTTCTCATTCCTACTCTCTTCTTATTTCCCGCCTCTTTCTCCCTGCTTAGCATTTGGGTTTTACTGGGTCTGCAGCTCTATCTGCCACCAGCAGAAAGATTTTTTTCACATGAGAGACATCATCCCAAGGATCCACCACAGATCTCTTTCATGCAGAGCCACAGAGACATTGATGCCCTTGCACAAAAACAGGGATGTGGTGAGGATTCTCTATATTCCTATACTCTCTGTATTCCTTTAGGCTCTTGTGGCACAGGCTGCCCCAACAGCCTTGTATCATTAGAAATCTGACATTAGCCTCTAAGTTCACATCTATACTTAAAATTCAGAGAAAACATTTTAAGCAATGCCCTATTTTTAAAAAAGTTGACATGGTCTTAGGGTTCCAAAAGTCTCTCTCAAGAATCCTTTCAGCCAGGTGCGGTGGCACACACCTGTAATCCCAGCAGCTGAGGAGGCCAAGGCAGGAGGATGGTGATTTCAAAACTAGCCTTAGCAATTTAGAGAGACCTTAAATAGTTTAATGATACCATGTCTCAAAATAAAATATGAAAAGGATTATGGTTAAGTGCCCCTGGGTTTAATCCCTGGTACAAAAAAAAAATGTTTTCAATCCTTTTCTCTGGCAGCATCATAAAAGTAGACCTATTGAACCTATAGGTTCTATATAGCTCAGCAAACATATGATAGCCAGTGCTTATTATCTCCCTTTTGGTACACTGAAGTATGATTACTGCATTTCGTCAGTGTTTAATAATTTAATAATTATGGAAATTACACTATCAGAAAAGAGAAAGAACAACTGACATATAAATTATATTCCTTCAATCTTGAGGATCCAATGTAGTCCATGGAAAAGTGGTTTTTTTTTTTTTTTGGTACTGAGATTGAACCCCAGGGGTACTTAATCACCAGGCCATATTCCCAGCCCTTTTTAAATTTATTTTTTATTTTGAGGGCTGGAATTGTGGCTCAAAGGTAGAGCTCACACCTTGCACATGAGAGGCACTGGGTTTGATCCTCAGCACCACATAAAAGTAAATAAAGGTATTGTGTCCATCTATGACTAAAAATATATTTTTAAAAACATTTTTTTTTATTTTGAGACAGGATCTCACTAAGGGCCTTGTTAAGTTGCTAAGGCTATCTTTCAACTTGCGATCCTCCTGCCTCAGCCTCCCAAGTCCCTGGGATTACAGGAGTGTGCCACCCACTTGGCAAAGTTCTTGAGAATGCATTGGAGTATTTCAATCCCAAGTTCAAAAGATGCAGATTCTTTTGGAGCAAGGTGACCTCCTGCTCCAACAAACCAGCTACAGATCTGTGAAAGTACTTTGTATTTAAGGTCAACATTCAAATCATACCATCTTTCCATTAAGTAATGTGTTACTGCTGAGCAGCTACTTGGGAGGTTGAGGCAGGAAGATGGCACGTTCAAGGCTAGTCTGGGAAACTTAGACCTTTTTTCAAAATAAAAAGGGCTTTGGATATAGCTCAGTGGCACTGTGACTGAGTTCAATCCTCAGTATTGCAAAAAATAAATAAATAGATGGATAAATAGATGTGAAGCCCAAGAGATGAAACCAAAACTTATCATTCTTTGATTTTTCTATTCTACTGAATAATTATATATCAATTAGATTTGCATAAGCACTCAGAATATCTATACAATTAAGATAGGATTTGAGAAAGTTGGTTAATCAGACCAGTAACATAATATTGTAGATTAGGCAACTATATAACATAAGTTAGATGTAAATATCCAGGTGAACAGATACTGGGTGAAAATTTCTCCTGTGTTTCCAGAATTGTGGCTAAAAAGGTAAGCAAAGAATTTATATATCCTAAAAAACAGAAGCCAAAAGAGTTTCAAGATAAAAGAGGGGGTACTAATTGCATTAGGTTCACATGTTTATAAGGACAGTGGCAGGGGAGAAGTGACTGCTGTAGCTACTAATTAATAATAGTTTTGGTAAAATGGTAGGAATTGATGCCAAGGTGAAATGGGTTGAGAGATTATAAATAAATTAAAACTAATTAAGGTAGAATTTTTTTTGAGAAAGGAAGAATAGAGACTAGACTGGAATTAAAATTAGACATCTTGGTTAAGAATCCAGGAAAGAAAAATTGAAAATATTCAAGGCTGAGCAAAGTTGGAGATGATGGAAGACAATGAAATAGATCAGGGTCACTCAGCTGGGGCCCAAAGATCTGCCACATAATATGATCAAGTCAGTCAGCTTTCCATTGCTATGATAAAATACCTGAGAAAAACAGCATAAAGAAGGAAAGATTTATTTTGGCTCAGTTTTGAAGGTTTTAGTCCATAGTTAACTGATTCCATTGTTTCTGGTCCTAACGTGAAGCAGTACATCATGACAGAAAGTGTAACAAAACAAAACTGCTTACTTTCTGGTGACATGGCCAGAAAGCTAGGGAGAGAGCTAGAAAGGGAGAGAAAGAGGAAGGGAGGGAAGGAGAGGCTAGGACCAGGTTATACCAGGGCACACCCAGGGATCTACTTTTTCAGGTGAGGCCCCACCTCCTATAGCTTCTACCACCATCAAATTATAAATCCATCAATGAATTAATCCACTGATGAGGTTAGAGTCTTCACGATGCAATCACCTTACCAAAGGCCCACCTCTGAACACTGGGGCACTGGGGATCAAGTCTTCAACGCATGAGCCTTTGGGGTACCTTACAGATCCAAAACACTGCAAAGATCAAAGAAGTGGTTTGTCTCATTCTGTAAAGGGAGTTTTATAGACAGTCAGTGAAAAGGGTTCAGGTGAAATTCAAATTCCTACTTGTAAGTTTCTATACTCAGCTTACCGGTCATGCTGCCCTTTCTTTCAATTAATACAGACCAAATATACAATTTCTTCCACTAATATATTTCATAACATGTTTTGCAATATAGTATTAAAATACAATATAATTGCAGATGGTAATCTTTTATACCACTGAACTAAATATTTTTAAAAAATACTGATTTCTCTGTTACCATTTTTTTGGCATTTTGTGCATAATAAAGATATCCAAGATGTGAAATTCCTCTAAAACTTACCAAAAAAAATGTTAGAATAGGAGGTCTCATTCAAATGCGAGTACAATTTATTTTTCCACATAGCAGACATTTTCAGTTTTAACCTTATTTGGTCATCATTTATAGGAAATAATAAAACAGACTTTCAAAACGACTTCAACTTTTTGCATTTCTAGAAAACTATAATTATTCCTATGTCCTCTGAGGCTTATAATTTGATAGCATGCCACTCTTAATAAATAGCCCAATTCTGCAATTCTAATATAATCCTATCACATCTTATTATTAGATGATCATTAACACTTAGACCCAGTGATTTATTCTTGCCCTCTATTAATATATACTGTCCTCTCTTGTAAAAGAGATTAAAGAAAACAGAAGGTGTTCTCCCTAGGGAGAAAGATGCAGTTTGTGTTAAACTAAAAAATAATTCTCACAAATAGCTCTTACACAATGTCTCCATTCTGACCTAAACTTTTAACTTATGCAAATAATAATATTGGTGGGATATACTGATCCCAGGCAGAATCTATGCAGAGAAAATATCCACTGAGACAATGTCCTTTTTCTCATGTGTAAGGTACCACAACAAGGTTTTTTTCTACACCACATAATATTTAATTTCTATTTGAGGAGCCCATTGGACAGTCAGTTTGCCCAAACATTGGACTTGGTGCTATATATCTCACAGAAAAGGCCACCTGGGAACTGACAATTCTGTGTGAGCTCTTTCTCTGTTCAGGTTTGACATTCTAAAGGTGGGCCTTTTGCAGCTGCTCATTTCCTATTAGAGACTTTTGAGGTGGCTCTGAAAAAAAAAAAAAAAGACTCTCAGACTTTGCACTAACTTCATTATGTCACCTCAAAGTCAAGAGTATTCCAATGAAAACAAATCAGAAAAAATTTAAGGGATCCCCCAAGCCCATTGGCTCCAGTGGGAGTCAGTTAATAGGGGGAAGGAAAACAGTCAACAGCCATGAAGTCACACAGAAGAGCCCTACTGAAGAAAGCCCTCAAACTTTACCTCTTTCCATTAGTCTTCATTCAAGATGTGACAGCTACTCTAAAAAATTAGGTTTCAACAACAGAGAACAAAGGCCTCATAAATTACTGGTTAGCCACTTCAATATTTAATTAAATAGTAATTTCCTCAAGTGGCTAAAATCAGACAGGATGTTATAATATTCATGGTTCTCAGCTGTGAAGGCTGTTATTTATTTTGATCAAATTGACAGACTCTTCAACCTCTAAAGCAAACTTATTTTTTTTTTAAATGCAGCCATCAGGGTACTCAAATATTATATTGCAAGACCCTGCAATAAGAAATAAAAACTTTTTCAAATTAACTTTTTCAAGGCTCTTGGGGGTGAGTACAAAGAAATCTTCTGGTACAAACTAATGAAGTCTCTACACTTAAAACGGACTCAAAGCAAATTTAGAATCTTCATTATATTTAAAAAGGACTCCACTGTAAGGAAGTAACATGCTACCACCAAAGGCCTGGGATACAACAAGGTAAAAGAGTCAGAGGAAAATTCATGTGAAATTCCTCAAATCTGAAGCAGACCAAGTCAGGTAATTCTCTCAGCCAGAGCTGGCTCAGGTTTTCACCATTGCCTTACCAAGGAAGAAGATGTTAATAGCAAAACCCTGCTCTATAGCTTAATTGTTACATCTACCAAAAAAAATTACATAGTAAATTCTGTACAGTTCTAAAGTCTATAATTTGTGTTCAGTCATTTGCAGCAGATCTTTCTTCTGTTGTCATGAGCAGGGAGTGTCCAGGAGTAGGGCCAATATTCATGTGGACTCTGCAGGCCTTGCTGATGAGCATTTTGTGCAAGGAGCTCCACTTTAAGGTCCTTAATGTCTATTTTGCAGTACAAATTCTATGATGCCTTGTTTTCTTCATTCTCTGAAAGCATTCATGGAGCACCTGCAACATGCATGGCCATTGAGAAATACAAGGTTAATCGTTCAACAGTTCCTGGGTGGATAAGGAGAGGAAGGCTAGAGCACACAAATAAAAGCAAAGAGGGTGATGACTGGCGCATCCTCTGATTCTCCAAGAAGTCACTCCCCAAGATGTTCTGCAGTGGCACAAGGCACACATTCCTTACAAACATTTTTGTTCTATTGCAGTAAGTTACCAAGGAGAAAAGACTAACATATTCAAATTGGTCTTCCCAGGATATTTGGGACTACAGACAATGGTGGACAATGTTTTGGGAGTGAGTTAATGAATTCAGAGGACAGAGACTAATTTTCTATTCAGGTTATCCTCAAAAAAGACTAAAAGAAAAAAAAATGAACAGCAACTCAACAGACCTGAAAGAACAAAGGAATTGTGCTAGAAAAGAACTATGCTGGGAGGAAATTTAAAGGGAAATCATACTCTGGAAAATGTACCTGGAAATTTCACATCGTGCCTCTCTGTTTCGTAGCTCCCCTCCCTTATGTCTAGCTTGGCCTTTAAGACACAGTTTCTACAAGAAATGAACAATTAGTTAAGGTAAGTGAAGCAGGTTGGGTTTTATTCAGATTCAGATTTTCCAGATCCTTTCAGTTCATGTTAGGGAAAGGTAAAATTTTTACTTAAGTTTTCCAGATAAGATAGCTATGGCTGCAACTATACTTATCAAGGAAGTCTTGTTCATTGCAAGTTGTATGTTGAATCGTTACCCCACCATCATCACTGTTGGAGATCTAACCCTCAGTACCTCAGAATGCAGTTGGTTTCAGGATAGGATCTTTAAAGAAATAAGTGAGCTGAAACGAGTTCCGTAGTCTGGGCCCTGATCTGATATGACTAGTATCCTCACATGAAGAGGAAATTTAGGAACAGACTCAGAAGGAAGACCCTAAGAATACAGAGAAAAGTTGGCATCCACAAGCCAAGGAAAGAGAGGAGAAGATACTGAGCTCCCTCAGTCTCAGAAAGAACCAACCCTTCTGATGTCTTATCTTAGTCTTCTAGTTCCAGAACTATGAAACAATACATCTCAGTTAACTCACCCCATCTGTAGCACTTTACTATGGCAGCCGGTTCAAATTAACACACTGCAGTTGAACTTTGTAGCACGTTGGCCACTCTTCAGTCGGTTTTTCTTTCATTCATGCCAGGTGATTGGACAAGTCAGCTTATTTCTGGTACTTAGATTAACTGAACAGAAGGAGGTAGAGGGTCCCCCACTTTGTAATGGAGGTGCTACTGTGTGCAAGCCAGTAACCTAGAGATAATTGGTCCCTTGGTCTGACTCCCTCACTCAATGCAAAGTCATTCCAGCTACTGAACTACCTCTTAGCAAAAGAAAATGTTTCTGTAACAAGGCAATGACCTCTACTGGAAGCTGTGTAGAATTACAGAGATCCCAGCAAGTCTCAAGCCTTCGAGGGAGAGAGGGAAAAAAAAAAGAAGGGAGGGGGAAAAAAAACAGAGTAGATTTAAATGTTGAGAAGCAGTGACTGCAAAGGAATTTTAAGGCAAACACTATTACTTCAACCACTAAAGAAATCTAAATTGAAAGGAAGTGTAGAGGATTAAAATAGGGAAACTATTTCAAATCTTGTGTTGCTTATTATTACTAAGGAGAAGGTAGACAAGAGGAGGCTGAGGGTGCTTCTCTCTGAATACCTCTGAGGGATTTCTAGGTCCTTTCAACTCTAGTGATCTGCCAGAGTCTACTCCCTTCCTGAAAGGGAGTTTAAATGTCAGCAAAGGTCCCAGGGAATCTGTAAACACATTAAAGTCTAAGAATCACCTCAGTCTCCCTCATTCCGAAAGAGTGACCCTTCCGTCCTGACTCTAGTCCCTCTAGCAACCCCAGTGGGGGACATGCAAATCCACCCCCTAGTGAGAAATTGAAAACCACCACGCAGGAGGTAGTTCTAGGTTCTAAGTTTCCAAATTCATTTTTCTTCACTTAAGTACACAGAAAGCAACTATCCATAAAATGTACAGACTGAATAAACATATTTCATTAGTCATTTTGTTTTCCTTTTTTGAACCTTAGAGTTCAACTAATGACACCTTTGGAAGTCTATGATTTCCAAGGGTTTTCATGAAAATGCTGATACTTCTAGCCCTGTTATTAATCACCCTGCTGTCAGGGAAGCAAGGAGTTTGAATTTAATTCTTCTGAATGAATATATTTCACATACTAAAATTACCTCAGCAATTTGCTCAGCAGCTTTAGAAGCCATTATTACAGTTCAAATTCATGTCATCTGTTTCCTAAACTGGCTCTATAGTTTATCTTCATAAACTATTCTAAACTCTGGTACCAAGGAACAACTATCAAGAAAGATAGTTTTTCTTATAAATACCCCCCAAGCCAGAGTGTTTTAATTTGGTTACACTATGGTTTGCTTCCGGTGGGTTTCCAGTGGGTTTCCAGTGAGTTTCCAGTGAATGCTTAACAACCAACTCTCAAGATTCATAGCATTTGCCCAGTGTAAATTCTCCCACCTTGACCAATTTCAAGATAGCGACATGTTAGGAAGATATGTGCAAAATTCCCTAATAGCGGTGTAAGTAGGCTCCAGTATATCATTATTTATTTGCAAAATACTGACTAATACCCCCATTTCCCAGACTCTTTCCTATATTAGTTTCATTATATACATCAGCACACTATATATGTGTTGTACAATTGTCCAGCTAGTTATTAAATCTAAATATTTGCTCAGAGAAAACTACCATGTTTAAATAAAGTACTGGTTTTATTAATAATATGATGTTATTCTAATAGTAAGAAACTTATGTTCATTAAAAACTTAATGTCAAACTGGGGTTGTAGCTTACTGGTAGACTGCATGCCTACCATGCATGAGGCCCTGGGTTAGATCCTCAGTGTCTGTCTCTCTCTCTCTCTCTCTCTCTCTCTCTCTCTCTCTCTCTCCCCACACACACACACAAATTTAATACTACTCTCTTGTGTTTATTATTAAATGATCAGAATCATAGATGAAAACAGCAAACTACAAAATTCACTCTAATAACCATATTTTCCCACACTTACCTACAAGAGCAGTCTGCACCATCCCATGAAGAAGTCTCTCTCCCAGTTATGGAAACACTTCCCACAATCCTTCATTACCAACTAGTTTGTTTTGGCCATTCAAGGCCTTTCAATCTGAATCAGTCATGTCCCTGGCAGGCTCTTCTCCATCTCCAATCTCTCCAGATCAGGCAAAAAAATAAATACATAAAATCTATAATTTCATTAATTTTCTAAGTACCATGACCCACCTCATGAATTAATTGATTGGTTTTTTATTTATTCTTTTTAGTTATAAATGAGAATAGAGTATAATTTGACTTATTTATACAAAGATGGAGTACATCTGATGTAAGATGGATATAAGTATATAAATAAGATGGAGTATATCTTATTCTAAGTAGGATCACAGTCTTGCAGTTGTATGTGATGTACAGATTCACTGTGGTGTATTCATATATGTACACAGGAAAGTTGTGTCAGAATTATTGTTTTTTCACCATCAATGCAACAACAGAATGTCACTGCAATGTGTTGAATGTTTCTACTCAATAGATGTTCAAGTCCTAACCTCTTGATACCTGTGAATGTGACTTTATTTGGAAATTAAGGTCTTTGCAGATAAGCGGGTTAAAATGAGGTCAGTAGAGTAGGCTCTAATGCAATATGATTAGTGTCCTTATACAAACAGAAAATTTGAACAGAGACATGTGTAGGGAGAAGACACCATGCAGAGCAAGGACAGAAGCCTGCCATCTCTAGGGTAAGAGAAAGTCTGAAATAGATACTCCCTTACAGTTCTCAAAAGGAACCACCTCTACCAATATCTTGATTTCAGACTTTCTAGTTTTCAGAATTGTGGAGCAATGTATTTTGGTTGTTTAAGCAGTCAAATGTGGTGCTTTGTTTGTTATAGCAGCCCTAGCATTCTAATAACAATCAGAAAAAAAGTATGTCACAAGTAAATTGTTTATTCATATCAAATTTGAAGAATTAAGTATATTTTTATTTTTGTTAAACTTGAGGAGATTCTAGGTTATTCTAATAATTTCACTAGGACTGTTTGCCTTCTCAGATGTTTTCTTCATAGGATTATAGCTTTAGGGCTTTGTATATTGCCCTAACTATGTCAATGAGAGAGCAGGGCACATTTGAACATGACTAGTCACAGATGTCATAATGCAAAAAGTGCCCCAAAAATGCTAAAAATATTTTATGTGAAACCATTATTAACTTGTCAGTGCAGCTTAATAACCCCTAATAAAGGGAATTTATTTGCCACTAAAGAGACCTCTCCTTAACCCATTCCTCTAATGAATAAATTTCTGAAATTGAAGGCAGGTTTGTTTGGAAGATATTCTGGTGGAAGAAAGAACTCCTTGAAATTCTTCAGATGTACTCCACAGTTAGCCAAAAACATCACCTACAAAAAGAGGTGAGCTCTCTGTGAATGAATTTCTTAGACTCAAAAGCATAAAAACAAAAATACAACTGCTTAATCATGTCTAAACTCTCATTTATAGAAACAAAACACTTTAGAGCCTCAAAGGATCTGAAAGACATATTTTAAAAGAACGAAGTAAAACCTAGAGATATTTCTCCAAGGTTGCTGTTACTGGGAGAGAAAACCCAATCTCTTAGTTCTTTCATTTTAACCCCAACTATCAGAAATGCAGTTTGATCTTATCCCCTAGTCAAGTGAAGACAAATTTCCAGGGCCCAACCTTAAAAATTCTGATTCAAATCCCAGATTTGGCTCAAAGATCTATGATTAAACTCTTGGAGGATTTGGCCATGTAGCCAGCCACCTTTGGAGTCACTGATGGAAAAGATTCTGCCAGAGATTAGTATTGGCAGGCCAGCCCTGTGTGATAGTTATCATATCTCTCTAGTCCTGAGAAAGAAGCTCAGTGAGTCCTGAACCTGTTTCAATGCCTGGCACATTCACACTCAGCCTTACACTGCAGAATCTCTTCCCTTCTGACAAGTGGTAAGCACACAAAATATTTTAGAACAAGGAGGGGGGACCCTGAAATTTCTTAAGGCCATCATTTTTTTTTGAATACTCTCATTTCATACTCTTGGTTTCTGTTCCTTAATGTGCCAGAGCACATTCAATCTGCAGCCTCACAAATGGCCATTTACCCATTCACCAAGGGTAAGATGATTTATGTGGAGTGGTTGTAATAAGCACAGGTTTCATTTATTTTCTATCATTGCTGTAACTCCTAGGGGAAGGAGAGTGGATTCAAAAGCCAAACAAAAACAAACCAAAACAAAAAAAAATTAATCACACTGTAGCCTAGTGAATTACAATTTTTTAATAAATTTTGATAGTTCAAACTGGGACACAGGATTTCCTGGAAAATGTGGAAAGTAAGGAGAGCACAGGAAAGAGCTGAATACAGGAAATTTGGGGCTGTAAATAACTTTGTGCTGATGCTAAGCATGGCAGGGGTGGTAACCTACAGGCTGTATAACTAGAGGGAAGCTGTCTCTGTCCTCCACGCATCCACCCTGAGCTTTCTCACTCTTATACCTAAAGATCCCATTTAACACCAAAAAGGAAACTGAAAGTGCAAAATTTAACAAGATTCCTTCTCTTTTCCATCCCATTCTATCTCCCCTATGTGAGACCTTTATCAACTTTCCCTGAATGACTTCAGGAGCCCCTACCTACTTTCTGGTCTCCTCAACACTCATGCCCTTGCAGCAGTACCTCTGTTAGGTAGCAGATAGATGTAAGCAGTGCATCAGGACTTTAAAAAAAAATACTTGGTGCAGAATGAATCAGTTAATCAACACCTCTGCCTCAGTAGTACCTTAAGTTCTGATAAGATGGCTATTTCAGGAACCTTGCCTCATCTTAGCTCCATAAACTATTCCTCTTACAACTGGAGGAAGATAGATAAATTCAGA